GTGTGCTTTCTTCATGCCTTTCGCTCCCGAGACAGAGCATTTTGTTTTTAAGAACTGTATTTTCACCCATGACACGAGACAGTTCTTGTCGTAAAAACGCAAAATCGCTGTCTACAATTTTACATATTTCTTCTATTGCCGTTTTGGTCATTATCTCCATTATGGAGCTGACTTGCAACCGAAATGATAGAGATTTGGACATCTTTTAAGACTCGCGATTTTTTTGTTAGCATGCAAGAAAAAGAAACACTGGCTAAAAAAAACCCCCGTAAGGTCAGTCACCGAAAAAATAATTCCAAATTCTGCAACTTGGTACTGTGCAAAAACCGGAAATAAAGTGTACGAAAGAAGTCCTCGGCTTTTATTTTGGCGCAGAATATCGTTAGCTTCCGGTTTGTGATAGATTTTCTCCTGAACTCAAATTCTCATACTATCAGCTTTGGTGTGTCCCGAACAGATATAGTTAAGAGCATATTTCAAATCAGTCTAAAAAATATGTACATCAGGATGATGCATTATTTCCTGGATTTTGTCTAACGTTAGACAAACAAACGTTAATAAAAAAAGTACCCACATTTATTATTTAGCCTATTACAAAGAAGTCCTTTTACACAGTCCTTAAAAAGTTTGTTATTCCTACTATTATTTATGATTTTAAGAGATTTTCAGCAAGAAAGACATCAGATCTAGGCAAAGATTTGAGAAATGTTATTGTGAATAAAAAAATTGCAATGCAAAAAAACCAAACAAAACAAAACCAAACCGTGGTTACTGTTCAGAAAAATAAAGAAATATCATCCAGGGAAAAAAGAATCACATTTTATCAGTTAGGCTAATAAAAATAAAAATGCAAATATGGCAGGAGAGCGTCATCAGCATTTGGTTTTTAACAGTTTAATCTTCACACGTTTGATGGTTGAATGAAAAAAGAATCGAAAGCAAAATATATGTTTGGCTAGAATTAACTACACATTTTTAGTTATCACAAAAAAGTGTAGGCTACATAATTTTAGGGACTCAGCAATATGACCACTGGGTGACAGTATAATAGCAATAGATTTCAAAGCTTTGTTCCTGGAGCCCCCCAGCACTGCTCAATTCAGATGTCTCTCTTATTTAACCCAGCTGAATTAACTCATCATCTGAAGCTCTCCTCTATCTTTGTACTGGCTGTGTGCTAATAAGAGACTCTGTCCTCTATCAGGGCTATTCAATTTCAGTACCAGCAGGGATTGTAGGTGGGGGGAGTGAATGAACAGTGCTCTCTTCCACCTTCAATACTCACGACCGAGGTGCCCTTGAGCAAGGCTCTGAACCCCCCACTGCTGATTTCATTTAGTTAACAGAAGTGAACCGACAAATAAAAAGCATGTTTTACAAGAACATTTCACAGTAGGGGAGACCTGGGATTGTTATTGTTAAATCGAGTTATAAAGTCCAAATTAGGAGATATAAACTTGCATTTGCGATTAAAAAAAAAAGAGTCAGAATTGTGAGATAAAATAAACAAATGTTATGTAAAAATGTTAATAGTAAGGTTTAAATAATATTTCGTGCTGTAACTGTAGGGCTAATACAATACGTCCCCTATGAACAGCATATGTGAATATTATGTAGACCTATTATTTAAATCAAATTTATGCTTTAAAAGAGTAATCATAGCAGTTTTCATCCATAGTATGTCCATTTAAACGCCTGCGTTTAGCTTCAAATGGCGTCTTTGACGACAGTATTCTATAAACATTATTTGCATTCCGATCTTGACATCAAAAGGCACAAAAATATTTTTTTCTTTTATTCCATGGATTTTACCCATTTACCTCCACTTGTTCCCAGTGTTTTTCTGCAACCACTATGCATGCGCAGCTGCAAATGACGTAACTGTGACGTCTCCTCTGAACTGGTCTATAGGGACACATTAAAGTGTTCAGACCTTAAAGAAATGGAGGCTGAAACCCCTTTCCTAGATGATGAGTCTGCAGAGAGGTTTTCAAAGTCCTAGTGCCTCCCATGTGGACGTGGCTTTTATAGTCATTCACAGGTCTGAGAGGCACACAAAGCGCTAAAGGCTGTCCTCTTTTCACAGTAAAGAATTTGTGAGCAGCATGACAAGAAGCTGTCTGTCTTCTGCACTGGGGACCCCTGAATGTGGGCATTGCCTCAAATTAGGGAGCCAAAAAAATCAGAGCGTATCCTCTGAAGAAACACTGAGGTGTGATGGAAATTCACTGCATTCCGCATCATTTTCAGAATTCATACAACAATGATAATTTTGTGTACTGTACTACGGCAAATCCCAAAGCACATCATTATCCAGCTAATGGAAATGATTAATAGGAACAAATGCTGTCTTCACCTCAGATCTCAATATCTGTCTGTGAGCATTTACGTCCAGACATCACGTCTAAAGGTCAAGCGTCTGGAGTATGAAAAGGCACATAGGGAGCGGTGGTATTTTTATCTATAACACTTAGGACCGAAGACGCAGTATATCTCTTCAGCTCATATCATCAGAGATAATGGAGGATGATTCGCCGCTCTTAGAGGAAGACCATTCTTGTTCGGTGTGTGGGGAAGTGTTCAGTGTTCCAGTGGTCCTGTGCTGTGTTTCTTGTGGGTGCAGCTTCTGTGAAATTTGCTGTCAGCAGTTTTGGGAGACGCAATGTCCTTTCTGCAGAAAAGAGGCCTCTGGATCCCATCTCAGAAAGTTCAGGGAGCAAAGACTGAAGGTATTAAATACAGCACAGCTCAATGATAAAGATATAATAAAGACTGCATCAGATTGCACAAGCTTATCGATGCATGAAAATAATCAGTAAATCTTATCTTGTATATTGTATCACTATCTTGTGTAATCTAACTTACGTTTTACTTAGCAAAATAAATTTAGGTCCAGTCCTTTTCACTCAGTATGTCAACAACGACCGGCAATCTTGTTACAGTCTTACAAGACTTTCTTTATATATATACAGTATATTCTATAAACAGTTTCACAGTTCTGTGAAAAAGTTTTTGCCCCTTGTCTGAATTTCTGAGTTTGGACACATTAACATTGTAAGTGGTCAGATTTAATTATAGATTATTCACCTTGTTTTGAATGTAAGAACAGGCACATATATTTATAACTTGAATGTGCCAGGTTTCAGGTGTCATTTGCTTCAGGTTATTTTAGTGGTACAAAAACAGTCTGTTATGCTGCTTGACATTACAAACTGCTATTACTTATCTCATTATTTGAATGTATTCTCGTAATTATAAACTTATTGGCTTGTAGCTCAAATACATTTACAGTTTACTGCACTTTGGCATTCTTTGTTTTAAAATAGGTTTATTCCTCCATTTACTTATAGAGCATAATGAATCGGAAGTCTCGCACATTGTTTAGCCTCCACTGAAACATAATCAGAATCATATTATCAAATTGTATACAGTTTGGAATAGTTAATCTTTTATAAATAGTTAATCTTTAATAGTTAAGCTGTTAGTTAATAGCTTATCTTCCAAGGAGTGGGTGTTTTGCCAAAAATTGTCCAAGAGCAAGGCACAAAATTATTCTGGGAGTCACCAAGAACCCTAGAGCAACTTCTAAAGATCTTCAAGCCTTTCTTGCCTGCATTTCATAAAAATAACTGGTGATGCTATAGTTTGGGAATGTTTAGCTGTATCAGTATCTGGACATCTTGGTATCATTGAAAGAATTATAAATTCTGCTCTGTACCAGAAAATTATTGAGGAGAATGTAAAGACGCCTGTTTTTAAATTTAAGGTGAGGCCTGACTGGGATATGCTCCAAAACAATGATCCCTAAAGAAAGCTAAACTTCTGAAATGGTCTAGTCACATTCCAGAATGAAACCCCAACAAAGTGTGGTTGAAGTGGCAGGATCTAAAGCGCAGCGTTCACGCGTCAATGCCTACAAATGTCACTGGGCTGAAGCCTGTAGGATTTCTGTAGCATTCCTGTGGGATTCCTGCAGGAGTCCCACAGGAAAATGATCACGAAAATCCTGTGGGATCCTACAGGACCTTGCAGGTGATTTTTCCTTCAGGAATGCCTGCAGGATTTTTTTGTAAGGGTGTTTGTTCGTTCAGGCACGGGAGGAAGCGAAGAAGAGCTCGGTTCGGTGTTTAACTCGCAACTCGGCACACGAACACTCAGTTGAGTTTTTCCGCATCTTGTGTTTGAATGCTTTAAAATGTTTTGAATGTTTAAATTGGCAAGGCTTAAAACACGTGCAATTGATAAGCTTTCATGACGACGCGCAGGCCGTCTTTTTATGCTGGCCTCCAGCAGTCCGTTGAAATCGCCGGGCTATAAATCGTCACCACCTTTCACCCCACTAGCGACGGCCCTGGCTGAAGCAGTTCTGCAAGCAGGAGTGGGCCAAAATTCCTCCATATAAATAACTACAGGAAACATTTGGTTGCAGTTATTGCTGCTAATGGGGGAGCAACCAGATACTGGTTACACCTCCATTAGCATGCATTAACTGCAAATAGCGCTGAATGTTTTATAACCATCTTTAATGAATGCATGAAAGATTTAACTTATTGTGGTGTTATGAAGATTCATGGAAATGTTTTGGATAAAATTCGGATGATATTCAGTGTAACACTGAAAATCAGGAGGGGGCAAACACTTTTTCCACACCACTGTTCTTGCCAGTTTTCTGTTTATTTATCCTGCCTTTTAATTATTCTTATGAGGTGGCATACATTATCTTCTCCAAAGAAAATCTTGACATATTTCCTCTTACGTCAGTGCCGGGGTCAAATCACTTTCCAGGAGCTTGATGTTACATAATATGCAGAAATAATATGTTTAGGCATTCATCAGAAGATATCATGTGTCGGCCTGTACCTTGCTCAGTAATGTATATATACTCTGAGTAAATACTGCAGCCAATCAGAAGACAGATCTCCCAAGGGTAATCTTAAGTTAGAGGGAGGGCATAGTATCCCCTTGTGACCCAACTGGGCAATGAAGGGCTCAAAGGAGCAATGGCCTCCAAGCAGTCACATCTCGCAGAAGACCTGTCATGCCCCATCTGTGGAAACATCCTACAAATGCCCGTAGTGCTGTTTTGCAGACATCGCTTCTGTAAACTCTGTCTGGAGAGCCTGTGGAATGGTGGAGGATCTTGCGAATGCCCCCTTTGCTGTCAGCCATCATCTATGGGGGAGCTCATAGTCAACACCACGCTTGAAAAGACCTGCGAGGGCTTTCTGGAGCACTGCAAAAATGACCCTCTTGCGTGCAAGGAGCATGGTGAGACCTTGACGCTCTTTTGTTTGGAGGACCTGGAACCCACTTGTAGCAAATGCAAATCATCTGCCAATGCCAACCACAAGGGGCACAGGTTATATCCCTTAAATGAAGCTTCACATGACTGCAAGGTATGTCTACATACAGATTCATGGTCGCTTGCATCAATGTTTGGCATTGTTTAAATACAATGTTGATTCTAATCTATAGTTTCAACAATTGTACCTTCAATTCAAGGACAAGAAGGAAACCAAAAACTTTTTTTTTGAGAATAACCATTTGGACAACTGTTCCTTCTCTTTAGGTCCTCGGAAATGGTTAGTTATGGATTCTTGGCTGGGTTCATTATCAGACTATTAATAGCGGTATGCTAGGTTTGAGGCCTCCTGGTTGGGCTGAAACCAGATGCCTAAGAGCTTAGTTTAGAGTTCATGAAAGTATACACAAAAATCTCCTCAAATGAATCTAAAAATCGTTTGACGTCAAGACCAAGGACGGATTAGGATTAGGAGGCCCCCTCTTATCAATCCACATTCAACCAGGGAGTTGAAAAGAGAAACAAGACATTATCATATCTTGGTTTTACTAAAATGTAAGAATTTTTATCTCATGATATTGGCCTGGTCTTAGAAGCTAAGCAAGGTTTGGCTTGGTTAGTACTTAGAAGGGACTGGCAGTCCATTCAAGGTGGTTCTCAAGACTTTGGGATAGACTCCAGCACTTCCACCGCCTTACACTGGACAAGCAGTTTGGAAAATAAATGGATGGATTTATTTCCCACAGTTGTTTGAACAACTGTACACTTTCAAAAATAAAGTTTCCAAAATTGGGGTTTCGCAGTGATGACAGAAGAACCATTTTGGATTCCCAAAGAACCTTTCAGTGAACAGTTCTTAATAGAACCTTTTTTTCTAGTGTGATGAACCTTTTAATAAAGAACCTTTAACCTAGTGGAGAGGTTCCATGGATGTTAAATTCTAATCCCACTGGTCCAGGCTATAATTCATCCTTGGTCAGGACTATTAATTCTAATGGTTTTTTCCCTCGATGGACCCTTTTCACAATTCAAAGTTTGGAAAACTGCAATAAATTTCACTCTTAAAAGTAAAGGTGCTTCACGATGCCATAGAAGAACCTTTTTTTTGTCTAAATGGTTCCATAAAGAACCTTTAACATCTGAAGAACCTTTCTGTTTCACAAAACGTTCTTTGTGGCGAAAGAAGGTTCTTCAGATTATAAAAAGGTAAGAAAGAGATGGTTCTTTAAAGAACCTTTGACTGAATGGTTCTTTGTGGAACCAAAAAATGGTTCTTCTGTGAAGAACCTTTTAAGCACCGTTATTTTTAAGAGTGTATAGCAGGGTGAACTTCTCTAGAGTTAGAACATTTTTTGCACTCCTATTTCTCCCAAAAGCAAAAATAAAAACTTATTGCATTTCCATGCCTTTCCAAGAAAACTATAAAATATAAAGCGAAAGATTTAATTTACATTGCAGCAGCGTTGACTAGCCTTTCGTGAGTTAATCCAGGGTAATGTAACTCAAAGAATAATGTTCTTAATGTACATTACATAAATAAAAAATAAATAAACATAATAAAATTAAGTCATCAATTCTTCTTATGGATGCTGGTGCCTTCATATTTTGCCATTGTTTTTGTCCCAAAGATAGTTAACAGAAAAGTTCAAAAAAGTTTGGGTCTCTCTAAATGAATAATTAAACAGGTGTGTTTCATTACGGACACATCTAGTAATTACTAACTCTTTGTTTGTGTTATCATTTGTATTCAGGAGGAACTCAAAAATGCTTTGAAACCACTTCAGCAAAAACTGAAGCTCTTTCGAAAAGCAAAACGCACTTGTGAGCAAACAATAGATCATATTAAGGTATTTTCATTTTGAATTGGCTTTGTTGAATCAATTATAGAATGAGAAAATTAACTTTCCATTTGAGAAAAAGTAAATGATAACGTTCTCATTACAGAGTCAGGCAGAGAACACAGAGAGGCAGATACGAGAGGAGTTTGAGACACTGCACCAGTTCCTGCGAGACGAGGAGGCATCCAGGCTTTCCATGCTAAAGCAGGAGAAGGATCAGAAAAGGCAGATGATGAACGATAAGATTGAAGATTTGGAGAATGACATCACTTCACTTAGCAACACTATAAGAATTGTTGAACAGGAGATGAGATCTCAGGATATACCATTCCTCAAGGTGAACATTCGTAAAGGAATGACTTAAAACACAAATTACAATTCGCATGTTGCACTTTTAGTAATCTGATTCTATTTTTATTTAACCTAGAATTATAAAGACACCATAAAGAGGTACTCATCCCCCCATCTAAATAAGTATCATTTGCTCTGTGACCTAGTCCCAGAATAACTCTGTATTCTTTGCTGTATTGACAGAACCTGGCGTATTCCCCAGGATCCAGAGATGATAACTGGTTCACTGCTTGATGTAGTCAAACATCTAGGCTCATTAAAGTTTAAAGTCTGGGAAAGAATGATGGAAATCATTCAATATAGTGAGTATATTCAGGATCAAACTACCAAGTCATTTCCACATTTTTACATTTATTTATTTGCCCATTTTAAACCTCTATCAAGCAATGTCTGGATCAAATTTAACCAAAAAGGAAAAAAGACAATTATTTTGTATTTTTACCAAGACTAAACATTCAAAATTGCCAGTAGCCTATTATAATGTGAAAAATCTCATTCACATTACTGTAATAAAAATACTAAAATAAATACATTCATAAAAGTATGGTTACATTTTATTTACGGTGCCCTTGTTACAAAGTAATTATACATTTGTGAGTACTGAGTAAAATGAATTAACTACATGTATTTACTTTATGGTTAGGTTTAGGATGAGGGTTTGGTTTAAGGTTAAGTTGTGTGTAATTATGCATAATTTATTGTTATTAATATAGTAAGTACATGTAACAAGCACACTGTAAAATAAAGTGTTACCAAAAGTAGACAAACTGTAAAGTATGTTTTCATGGTAGTAATATGTATTGAATTTAATTGTTTTTTTCATTAAATTCAAAAAATGCACCACAGTAATGAGAATTTGAGGCGGAAAGTGGTTTTATTGTCATAAAAATGATGTCAGTAATGTCATAATGCAAAAAATATCTATTATTTGAAGAAAGAATCTTACTTTTATGTAAAAAATATAATTTATGTATGTGTTTTGGTTGAAAATTTCCAGGTCTGCGTTTCCCAAAAGCATCGTAAGCCTAAGATGATCATAGCTCCATTGGTTTCAATGGGTCTACGATGCACTTAAGCTTACAATGCTTTTGTGAAATGCAGACCTGGAGATTTTCTCACGATATTCACACTTAAAGCAACTGCATGTAGTTTTGTGTATTTTTTGCGACTTTGGAGCCCCTGCAGTTAAGTGAGTGGAATTCATTGAGGCAAATAACAGTGGATAGTGTTTGCAATTACAGTGGATAACCGTTCACGTGCCGTAAAGCAATCTGCCCTTCTCTTGGAACCCGCTCACCAAACTTCCATGCTCTGTTCTGGGAGTATGTAAAAAACAGAAACCATTCACCTTATTAGAAGTCATTGCACCAATAAAATGATTTTGAAACTTGACATTTTAAGGTAAAAAACAAACAAACAAAACGTACACACAGTTGCTTTAAAGAGACCATTAAAGAGTGCTAATTAAAGAATTAAAGAAGAATGCTAATTAAAATTAGCATTTTAATTAGCCTTTCAAACTATTCCTTTGCTGCAGCTCCAGTGACTCTTGATCCAAACACTGCGGCAAGCTGCTTCCTCCTGTCAGAGGATCTGACTACAATACAGTGCTGCTCTCAGACCTTTAAACTCCCAGAAAACCCTGAGCGCTTCGATATAGGTGCAGAGGTGCTGGGCTACGAGGGCTTCAGCTCTGGGCGACACAGCTGGGACGTGGAGGTCAAAAACAACACCTACTGGGTCATTGGAGTTGCAAGCACATCCATCAGCCGGAAGGGAAAGCACGTGTTGACCCCTGCAGAGGGATTCTGGACCATTAGGCTACGAAACGGAGAGTATAAAGCCTGTACTGCCCCATGGTCCCCTCTCACTATGACTAAGGAGCCGCAGGTGGTGAGGATCGTATTGGACATGAACAGGTCCAGGGTGACTTTCTACGACCCACGGGAGAGAACGCCTCTGTTCACCTTCACGGACATCATCACTCCGAGAGCATTCCCATACTTCTGCAGCGCCTGTAAGGAGCACCCACTGAAAGTGTTGCCAGCGTGGATCTCTATTAAGACAGACTGATGTGAAGAACGTCCCTCTCAGCATTTCTTTCCTCAAGTCTCACCTCTCATGTTAAGCCCAGCTCACACTGTGCGAATTTGGCCACGATTTGGTCGTCTGAGACAAATTTTAAAAATCCTAAAAGATTCCTATACTTTTTTTTTACCTCCGACAAACTTCTGGCAATGTCAGAAGATTTGGCGCACAGTGTGACTTCATTTTTCAAGACAAGCCATGATCATAATTAATGCTAGAGATTTCATATAACTGCATATGTATGACGCATACATATAACTGCATGAAACAGAATTCATACGATATGTTGCCTTTGCTATGATAAACACCGGTTATGCCGCTGTTTTCATTTGGGTGTGTAGTGCTGCTTACACTATTCTTCTTAAAGGGATAGTTCACCCAAAAATGAAAATTCTGTCATTAATTACTCACCCTCATGTCGTTCCAAACATGTAAGACCTCCATTCATCTTTGGAGCACAAATTAAAGGGGTCATATGATGCGATTTCAAGTTTTCCTTTCTCTTTGGAGTGTTACAAGCTGATTGTGCATAGATAAGATCCCGGAAGTTGCAAAGACTAAAGTCTCGAAACCAAAGAGATATTCTTTATCAAAGTTAAGACTCTGCCACGCCTACCTAAAACGGCTCGTTCTAACACGCCCCCACATATCTACCTCACTATATGGAAATATTTGCATAATGCGCCCAAATGTGCACGCAAAGAAAGAAGGCGTGGTTTCAGTAACCGCAGTTAGTGTTGAAGCAGCCATGTCAGGGAGACGCTGTGTGTTTCTAGGCGAAAGCAAAAGCACTTTATTTGGCCTTCCAGAAGTAGATGCATTTAGGAATCTTTAAGATCACTTACAACAGAACAGCAATGCATTTTACGGACGACCGTTTCGTGAACCTAGGAGAGGAGGTAATTCTGACTTTGCTATGACAATCTGGCACTTCTGAATCAGCTACTGTTTTGATATTAGTTTAAGTATTTGCTATTGACAGTTCAAATTCGGAGTTTTGCGCATCGTGTGTGTGAGAGTGAGAGAGAGAGAGTGTGTGTGTGTGTGTAGAGAGGACATAGAGTGTGTGTGTGTGTGTGTGTGCGCGCGAGCGAGCGAGAGAGAGAGAGGTGTGTGTGTGTGCG